ACTGACTCTTCCTAGGCAAGGTGTCGGCATTCTTTGTGCTGTCGACCGGAAGTTGCTCGATATCGCCGAGACAGACCAGGACTTCTTGACAAGAAACCTGCGAAAGATACACGAACGTTTGCAAGGGTTGTTCAGTCGCTTCTTGGACGAGCAGATACGGGCCATTGAAGATACGAAGGTCAAGATCAAGAAGCGCAAGGGAGTCATCTCATTCATGAAGACCTTTCCACACTTCTCCGTAGCGATCGAGAACATGTTGCCGCCTGCTTCAGAATACGGAGACAAGTTGGAAATCCGCGACATGGTCGACGAAGCGTACCAAAGAATCAACAAGGCTATGTTCGAGAGCTTGAAGGTCATCGCCAAGGAGTCGCCCACCGTCATGGCTTCCCAAGGACAGGGTGATCCTGAAGACAAGGAGGCGCTCAACTACCACATCTTACTCATCGAGAACATGAACCACTACATGGAGGAGGTTGATGCCCGTTCTGTCAATGTCCTAGAAATCTGGAAGGGCAAGGCTCAAGACGAGTACAGCGAGCACATGAGCCTGTATGTCGACGCCGTCATCCGGAGGCCATTGGGCAAGCTTCTGGTAAGTAAACCTCCTCATCTCATACCACTAAATCTAACATCATCAAGGAATTCATCGAATCAACCGAAACCCTCCTCTCCCAACCCGGCGCAAGCGCCCAAGCCATCGCCCAACGCTCCTCCCATTCGCGCTCAGTCTTCAAGAAACTAGTCCACTCCCACGACGCCAAGGAACTTCGCAAAGGCATTGAAGCCCTCAAGAAGCGCGTCGACAAGCACTTTGGCGACGCCGACGACCCGACTATCAGCCGCGACCTCGTCTTCAAGGTCCTGAAGGAATGCGAGAAGACATACAACAAGGTGTCAGAGCGCATGACGACTATCAACCAAGATGTATATAGTGGGGAGGTGGAGATAGATTGGGGCACCAAGGAGGTCGAAGCCGCATTCAGGAGATAGAGTCTTCGGAAAAGTGGGAGTCGGCATCTTCTCGGGTTTGTCGTGTAGTGTCAATTGTATCGCTGTGTTGCTGGTGTTTGTTGTTGTGTTACTAGGATTTGTGTATTGGAGTGTTTTGCATTGACGCGTCTATGATGGTTGGTGTTGGGGGTTGTATGGCTGGGTGCTGGGTTACGTACGCGGCTTGCATGGTGTTTTGGAGCGGCGCGAGTGATTGCGAAATGTATCGTTACGCCTTCGGGCTCACATTTTTGCCATCATAACTGTACTACTCCCATATCCAACATTTGCATACATTCTAGACTACAATGCAGTACGTCAACACGCATCCTTATGCACGTAAGCAAGATCTCGTATCCTGAATGCGACGCCCGCCGGCGTCCGAACGCTCCGAGCTCCTGCGCGCTATCCGGAAGCTTACCGCTGGACCCCAGTCACAAGTGGAGGGTAAGCGAGGAATGACGGCATCGATCCTGACTACGAGTCTAGATCGCCAGGCGCTTTGCAACAACGGTATGCGCCGGATGAACCGCCGATGATTGTGTTTGTTGGGTTAGAAAAGCGAGAGTGCATAAAGGAAGTACCTGAAGATCCTCCCGGTCTCCGATTGAGGGTTATATGTTGGGGTGCGCCGAAGTTTCCTCAACCGCATTTCTGATTTCGAAGCTTTGCGACAATATGACGCTCCTGCAAACTCTCCTTCGCGCGACTGCGTTCAAGAACCCGCTTCTGCGTACTCTCGTTCCCTCTGTTGCGCTCGCATACGGTATCCAAGCTGCTGTCGCCGTTCCCTCCATCGCGGCGCAGACAGAACGGTACTATGACCTCTCCGGCAGCTTCACATACCTGTCCTGCACAGCGCTCAGCTTAGTCCTGCCCTACATGCGCGCCAGAGCCGCAGGCACCATCACCGGCGGTATAACCGAGTATTTCAGCGCCCAGGGCCTAGGACAGGGCACGTGGTGGTGGAGACAGGCGCTTTTGAGCGCTGCGGTGGGGATTTGGGCTACGAGATGTAAGTTCCGTCGGGAATTGGTTGAGTTGTAGAGGGATGGAGGTGCTAATGACGACGAAACAGTGGGTTCCTACCTCTACAAACGCATATCCAGCGACGAAGGAAAAGACTCCCGTTTCGACTCCATCCGTACTTCCCCGCCCAAATTCCTCGTCGCCTTCTTCGCTCAAGCAACATGGGTCTCCCTCTGCACTCTCCCCGTCATCCTAGTAAACTCCGTTCCACGCTCCGCTTACGCAACCTCACTCATCGGGCAAGCCGTATCCTCAAAACCATACTTAACAGACATCCTCGGCCTCGCCATCTTCGTCTTCGGCCTAACCTTCGAGGTCGTCGCCGACCGCCAAAAAGACACCTGGGTCCAAGGCAAAAAGCAAAAGAAACATTCCGAGGAATTCCTCACCCACGGCCTGTGGAGTAAATCCCGGCATCCGAATTACTTCGGCGAGGCGACGCTGTGGAGTGGGATTGCGATTGCGGCGGCGGGGTTGCTGGTTAGGCAGCCTGCGCAGGCGGCGTTGGGACTGAGTGGCGGGATTGGGGGACAGGTGCTTGTGGCGGGTATGTGTGCGGCTAGTCCGGCTTTTGTGAGCTTTTTGTTGCTCAAGGTTAGTGGGGTGCCGTTGAGTGAGGATAAGTATGATAAGAGGTATGGGGAGAGGAAGGATTATCAGAAGTGGAAGAGGGAGACGCCGATGTTTGTGCCGAAGATTTGGTAGGGGGATGGAGAGGAGTTTGGAATATGGTACTTTTCTGGACGTGTCAGGAGGAAAGACTGTTGGTGAGAGATAAGTATGGTGGCATTTGGAAGTCGAATAAGGCGTAGAAAATGATGGCAACGACCTTTCTCAATCAGTTCTTCGGCGCTTTCTCTACTATTTGCAAAGCCTCTTCGTCCATGATTTTTGCTTCCACCAGCGCGGCAACGGCATCGCGTATCCAAGTCTGACAGTTTCTTATCTCCACCTTCCTCCTCGGTACCTACCACATCCAGTCAATCAGCCATTCAATAAACAACTTACACATCAAAAGCCTCACCTTACTATCCGCAGCAACCAAACTCGGCCCCGGCGGCTTCACATCCAGCACAACCTCCTCAAGCCTATCCCTCGCAACTTGATCAACAGACCACTTCCCATCACCCGTTACGTCAACGACATGCTCGTCTGCGACGTCACCCAAAGAGATGAGTTGGTGCCGCCGCCCATCAGCACCAAGTTCGTAGTTACGTTCGAATTCTATACTAAACCCGCTTGCTGCATCGCCGGTTGCGTTGAGATAGGTCCCAGTTTGAGGGTCGCTAGACGAGGGGTGCGGAATCCAGAGACCCCAGTGCGCGGGGAAGAGGGGGGAGTTGAAGACGATGAGGTAGATGGGCCGGGGCATTTCCTTATTCTTGGTCTGGGATGTGGAAGGTTTGGTGTTGAGTGTGTGGTCGGAGGTTTTGCTGGCAAGCAAGGGGGTGCGCAGCGCTAATGCACTGTGCCGCCCCCGCGATCAGCGTTGCATATTTGGATGTCTCAAGTGTGCTAGGCATCAGCGTTGTACTTGTATACAAGTAAATGGATGAGGAGGGGTTCGATAGTAAAGTCTTCATCTCCTCGATATGTTGCGGTAGACATTCATAAGTCGCCATACAGCTGCAAGACTAGAAATCGCATTGTAGTATCGCAAGATGCCGGTATTAAACCTACCGAACTGGCTTCGCATGTATGTATTCTGCAAGTACTCGGTACAGTATGTTAACAGTAACCAGTGTCTTCCTAGTGTCTACTCTAGCCTCCTTCATACCACAGCTCTATCGCACTACCAGCAGAAAGAATAGTTCGGGCATATCAACAAACTACCTGCTATTCAACCTCATCTCGGCAACCGAGCAATTTGCCTTCACATTCTTCTACATCGTAGATTCTATCCGAGAAGACAAAGGCTTTCACCGCGAACCCGTAACCGTGGGGAATTGGATTGATCTAGCACAAACGATTGTTGTACTGCTGTATTGGCTTACCTTGTAAGGACACGCCTCACGTCCCCTTCTCATTCATTGGAGGACATATGTACTGACGCTCACTGCGCACAAAGCTCAATTCTACACCTCCACTACCCCTCCTCCTACCGCGACGTATCAACCCGCTCCGCCATAAAAGCCTACACAACGTATTTCTTCATACTGATCTTCCCCATCTTCGTCGATGCCTTCTACGCCAACGACATAGACTGGTTTACCCACATCATGTTCACCTATGTGTGGCATGGCGCACACATCCTCTGCATCAATTGGATCGTACTCGGTTTGAGCATCGCGTCGTTCTTTTGGCAGGTGAGAGCGAGTCGTGCTGGAAAGAATGAGGATGAAGAGGAGGGGAGAGCGGAGGCGCTGAGTCGTGTCGGGCTTGCAATGCAGGCGGTGGTTTTTGGCGTTATGGGCGTAGTATGGGGGTTAAGCGTTGAGGTGCCTTCGTGGTGGGAGTGGTACGATGGGTTTTTGGGGTGGTGGGGTGGGTGGTATCATTATTCGGGCTGGCTTGCTGTTGGTTATGTGGTGTTTGCGGGCGCACAAGCGGGGTTGCTTTGGGAGGTGATGCGGAAGTCCAAGGCAGGAGATGGAGGTGGTGATGGTGAGACGGAGCCGTTGCTGCACGCGTGATGTCATGTACGCAGTTTGTACTATGCAAGATTGAATAGCTGTGGTACGTCTATGCCAGTATGATAAACAGGAGTTCGTAAAGTCATGAGGCATTGTAGGCTGCTAACGCGTGGAATCTTATTATTTTTGTTGAAGGGGGTGTAAAAGGTGTATGTGGGTTTGCAGATTGATACCTTTTTGAACGAAGGCTTACTCAATGGAGTACTCTTTGCTATCTCGTCGGCATGCAAAAGCTCGTTCGCTGCCATTGATTTTTGTCTTTCCGATCATCAAACGCCTGACGCCATGCTCATACGACTCCGTCATTGACCACTTGGACTCCCATCAAGTAGCGTCAGATCTGCCTCACTCCCCATCCTCGTCACTGTACGCCATTTTACTCTCTCGCACCAACTCCTCCTCCTGCTCTGTCATCTTAGCTTCGATTTCCACCCTCTCCTCCTCCGTAACCACCGGCGTAGCAACACGCTCCCTCCGCGCAATAACATTCCCACACCACTTAATAGCCTCATGCCAAGCCCCCTGCATCTCCCTATCATCAATCACCACCCCCAAACCCTTCTCTTCTCCCTTCCCATCCACACCCTTGATCAATTCCGGCAACCCTCCAACGACCAAGTCCCTAAAGAACCACCAGCTGGGCAGAAAGTTCAACTTTGCTAGCGCTGCGAGTTTGAGGGGCGAGAACATGGCGCCGTACTGGCAGGCCCGTTGGAGTATGACGACGTGTTTGAAGGCGATTTGCCACATTGTGTGCGCTATGTTGTCGATGTGAGTGGATGTTATGGGCGTGGCGGGGAGGAAGGGGAGCAGCGTGGGCTGGGTTTGGAGGACGTGGCGGAGGAGGTTGTTCATGAGCTGAGAGGACTGAGCTGATTGGGCGGTGGCAGACAGTGGCACGGATGGCTGTTGCGTGGAGAGTGTAGTGGAAGTGGACTTTCCTGGCGATGTAACTGCGGCGTAATGGGAGATCTGGGATAGTGTTAGCATGTAGTCACCTAGGTATTCCGTGTCATGTACTTCGTTCTTCACCTCCTCGATCTTCTGCTTCTTCGGCAGGGACTCGTCTCTGGTCTCTGCCTGAGCAGTACGCTTGTCCGCTCCTAAGGACTTGATCTGGACATCAGCCATCTTCGGTGAAATTCCCTACATTATTGTCAGTCTCGCTCCTGAGAACATCCCTGGCGGCACGCCAACCTAGGGAAAAACTGAACAGCCTGGAGCCTACGTTGACGTTGGGTCCCCTACTTGGCAAGGTTTTAGGTCAACGTAGTCTGCAGACCTGTTCGGTTTTTTTCTTGAATGAGGTGGCGGTTCATCTCACCTCGGCCTTGATCTTCCTCTTATTGTCCACCATAACCGTCGGCTTCACAGCAGAGATTTTACGCTGCTGCTGAACAACAACCTTCGGCGAGCTTTGCGCATTCGAGTTTTTGCGCTGCTGCTGAAGTTTTGGAACGGCTTGGGAAACGGATGTTTTGCGCTGCTGCTGAGTCTTCGCGGGGGCTTTGGTGGTTGGTGTTGAAGTGATGGGGCTCTGTCATTGTTAGTATCCTGCTTGTGGTTGTTCATGCTGTGGAAGCTCAACTCACCTTCCTCGCTGTAGGAGCCTTCGGTTTGATAGCCATAGTGATACCCGGCATCTTCTGGCACGATAGCGTTGTAGTCGAAGAGGATGGTGAGAAACTTGGTAAGACGCGTAAAGGACGTGAAAGGTTGGCAGGATAAGCGTGTTGTTTGTGAGAGACGGTTTGAGCAAGAAAGGCGAGGTGAAATAGCGTGGTATCAAGCGTGGAAACGCGTGGTGAACGTGAGTGTGAGTGCGGACTAGTAAGACAAGCCGGGGTGGGTGCCCACAAAGGGACGAGACGTGAAGCAGCCTTGACGTCGTAATGGCCTCAAAGAGGGGCTAAACTGTTTGGTCGACGTTGTTCCCGGTACCTAAAGGTGACGATCACATGTCAAGGTGAGAGAGCGGACGCTAGTACCTTGATCATGGGGACGAGGAGGAAGAAGCAAACGTCGGGCTGGAATAGACGCAGTAGTAGTCGTTGAAGAGGCAAATGTAGGCCTGGGGAGATGGCATTAGCTTACGATTGCAGTAAATCAGGACATCTTGCTGTCGCGTAGTTCAGAAGAGGGAGCGAGCACAAAGACATGGAATAGTCTGGAGGATTTATTCTGGAATTAGCAAGTGTCAAATCGGATGCTGCAGAAGATACCAAGCGATACCCTGATGAAGCAGACTTTATTCAAAGCTCCAAAGCCTATGCTATGCAAGCTTTCGTGGTATATTACCCAAAACACCACCCTCTTTCCGTCGTATGCAAGAGCTCTCTTATCAACTCATTACTCCATCCACAATGCTAAGCCCGCCCACGTGCCCGTGTCGCACGCGTTTTAGGCTTTGCTTTCGACTTCTTAGGCGCCGGCACTTCCTCTTCCTCATCCTCAGAGTCACCAATGTCCTCCTCCCCGTCGAGATCCATTTCCTCGTCCTCACTTTCAGCCTTAGCCTTCTTCTTTGAACCGCTACTCTTCTTCTGCTTCTTGCGATTGGCTTCAAAAGCCTCTTCCGATGGCTCCTCCATGGGTGTCGAACGCTTCGAGCCTCGTGATTTGGGCGCGTATTTGGCCTCCAGTGAGTCGAAGAAGTTGCCTGCTCGTGACTTCTGGCGCTGCTGGATCAGAGCTGCTAGACCTGCCATGTCGTCTGTGCCGCTCTTCTTGCCTTTCGGCTTCGCCTTGGCTTTGGCCTTGCCGTTTGTGGCTCCCGACTCTTCTTTCTGGGCTTGCTTCTTGTCGAAGTCTTCACGCCTCTTCTTTTCAGCGTCCTTCGCTTTTTGACGTGTTTCGTCCGTCTCGGCTTCGTACGCGGGGTATGGGCTGACTGTGCCGTTCTCAATCTCCTCGTCTAAGATCTTCCTGAACCGGTCGTCGTCCTCGAGGATGTCGGACAGCATGACCAGGTCGTACACCTTGTTCAGATTACCCTTGACCTTCTTGAACGCTTTGACCAAATCGCGACGCTCCTCCTCGCTGCCCTTGTATTCGTTCGCGACGTTGTTGATAGCCTCCTCATTGACGACGTTCTCAAACTGCTCGCGGTAGAACTTCAGCCAGTTGAAGTCATCGTCGTCCTCCATTGTCTCGGCTGTGCTGCCAGTGAGGTCGTAGCGCCTGCGTCGGCGATCGTCGGAGAGTACGGCGTAGGCGAATGCGATCTCTTGGAAGGCCTTGTTGGCGGCTTCCTTCTCGTCGGGTGCAGCCTTGTCTGGTCATAGTTCAGCGATGCACTCGACCATGTGTAGTAAGGGCACTGACCTGGATGGCATTTGAGCGCCATTTTGCGATATGCCTTCTTCACATCGTCGGCTGTGGCTTCTGTCTCGAGTCCAAGAACCTGATACGGGTCGATGCTAGGCGGGCCATCTTCTTCGTCCATGTCGTTCTCGCCTTCGCTCTCATTGTTGTTTACAAAGTCATCTTCCGCAGATTCCTCAGGGGACTGCTCTTTTTTCTGTCTCCGTGCCATGTTGTAGTGTTGTGTTATGGATATGGAGGTTGTGTGACTACTCACGGTCGACGCCTGCGTGAGAACGCGACGCGACCGTGAGCCCGGACTTAACGGAGTCAGCGCACCAGACCCACTATTCCCCAGTCACCACCAGCCAGAACGCCAATTACATCACCCTCACTTTCCTCCCTCACCAACATGCAAGTCGACTACGATACAGGTCCCGTGCGCACATGGGACGGCCCGGTGCCCCCAGCCCAAGGCCCGGACCCCAACGATCACCTACAATACATGCGCCTGGCCCTTGACCAAGCCCAAGAATCACCGCCGAAGCCTTCAAATTTCCGTGTTGGCGCCCTATTAGTCAATGCAGATACCGGGGACATCCTTTCGCGCGGCTACACTCTGGAATGCGAAGGAAACACGCATGCGGAGCAATGTTGTCTTTTGAAGCTTGCTCAAGCACACGGCTTGCCTGAGGAAAGAGTCGGGGAAGCATTACCATCAAACACCGTCATCTACACTACCATGGAACCTTGTAATCTTCGGCTTAGTGGTAATCTTCCATGCGCGGATCGACTCATTCGAACGAGAGGGAAAGATGGAGAGCAGAAGATCAAGAAGGTGTATCTTGGTGTCAAAGAGCCGGAGAAGTTTGTAGGAGAGAATGCAGGACGGAAGAAGCTAGAGGAACACGGCATTGAGTGCGTTCATGTTCCGGGGTTGGAAGAAACGATATTAAGCGTTGCGACTGCAGGTCATGAACAGTAGCAACATTGATATGGGATCGATAACACGATAACACAGAATCCGGTGCTCAAAAAGGTGCGCTCAGGGCACAATCTGTACACCATTCGTTTCAACTGCTATTCTGCCTCTCCATATCCGTATAGATGTATCGCTCTTCTTGCCTCAAAACCTCCAGCCCTACATCATCCGCCTGCGTCCACTTCCACCGATCCTTTGCCTTCCGTCTGCCGGTAATCCTCATCTTCAGCCCCAGTTCGTACTTGAATCGCTTCCATCTGGTCTTGCGAATCTCCGATGATCTGACCCCACTTCCTGGCTGGGCTTCTGTCTTCTTGAAAGCTTCTGGTTGCGGCGCGCTTCCAGATGCCTCCTGTGCTGCCTCCATAGTCTGCTGGTCCGCCGCGTCGTACTCGATAGCCATAGGACTGACAGCCAGTAGTGCGATGAACAGAGACGCGAATCTGCTTTCTCGTTTTGTGACCGGATCTGGGCTCGGAATGTTCGCAGTGATTTCGTTGTTTGAGGTCATTGGCACGTCGTCGAACGTGGTGCTCTGCCCCGACGCCTCATCGCTCCAAGTTTGCGACCTCAGGGTAATGGGTGCTACCAGTGCGCTAGTCCTGCCATTTTTCTGCCCTGTTTGTTGCGAGATGTGTCGATTCGCGAGAGCTGCCGTTGGTGGAGAGCTGCCAGCGATGTCAGGCGTTCGTCTGAGGAGTACCATCATATCTCGCTTTGCCGCATAGGAGTAGAATTCCTGACCAAGAGAGGCAACTGAGTGAGGGATGTTGAACGAATAGCTGTGGTAACAAGACGTGTAAAAGACAGCAACTCAAGATAAACGAAGATGAAAGTGCATACTGGCGGACAGATTTCGTGCCTCACCAACCTATGCAAATCTCACCAACTTTGCGCACCTGGCCAGTCGCCCATCTCATAAGTCTTTCTAGAAGGAGACTGCCTTTCGCGAAGTGTTCCACCAGCTGTCGGGCCAAATGTTATTGGAACGAAAGGCTGCCATCTCTTGGAAGGTGCGGCTGAAGATCCCTGCCAACAATGACCCGAAGTGTTTGTCCCGGTGGCAAGCACAGAGCAGCTCTACTATGCAGACGGGCGAAGTTGAGGCCTATCTAGATATCGCGTGAGGTTCTCATCTATGAGAAACCTTTGATGTGATGGGCTAGGCGACGTTGGCTGTTCTTGACGCCTTGAAGACCCCAAACTCGGTTCGGGATAGAGAGTAAATCCAACCCCAAGAGCTTCTGCTGAGTTGTACCCTCTAGTACCTGATATGTACGCATGTTGGCCTTACTGATGGCGCACTTAGAGGGGGCATAGACGATTTCGAGGTTGGTAGGAAGTTCAGACGGCTCGTGGTAATAGTCCAGGCACCGGCAATCGACGGTTTTCGACAAATTACCCGATTCGGATTGTGCCAAGCAGCCCGCAACATCAACCATCTCCTCTGCTGAAATGGTTCTTGACTATCAAGCAGAATATAAATCTAGTTCAACATCTACGTTCACGTTCACAACCGGCTCTCGGGATAACCTAGCCCCTACCCCGCTACCTAGGTAAGGGCTCGCGTACCTCGACCCCCGACGCGCGAAGGGATCGCCCGCGAATCTCACCTAGGACCACCATTGCGTCATGACTTATTCGCATCGACCAAAATGCCATCCCCTCCATCGATCACCACGCGAATTGCGTAACCCTGACCGTTTTGTACCACCTTTCTCATGATGACGCGTGCCAAAATCATGCAATTGGATAAAGCCTAGAAGAACAAAACGCCTCGTGGGCAAGTACATAGCCACCGAATACATTACCTATAATAACCCGTCCATCCAATACCCTCTCTCAAGACCTTTCTTACAATGACATCTTACCTCCGCCCATTCGCAACACAAACTTACAACCAAACACTGCGTCTCTTCACCAAACCAGCCTTCTCATCCCAGGTATCCAGAATCACAACCGCCAAAATGTCAACAAACCCCTCGAACCTCAACATCGAGACCAAAAACGTCCAAACAGCCCCCGGCGTCACTCTCTCAGAGCAACAAAACACCATCGTAGGCTCCGTCCTCGACCTCTTCGCGGGCCGCCCTTCGCTCCCCAAGCTCCAACTCTGGCGCGACGACGCCACCTTCACGGACCCCATCACCATCGCCGAGGGCCGCGAGAAGTACTCCGCGCAATGGTACGGACTGCAGAGTGCGTTTAGCGAGATTGAGAGGCTCAACCACCAGGTCAAGGATGCGGGGAACCCGATCTTGATGGATCTGAGGACGAGATATGTTATCAAGGGGTTGAACAAGGAGCAATTGATTCAGAGTGTTGTTGCTATTCATTTGGATGAGCAGGGCAAGATTAAGAAGGTCGAGGATAAGTGGGATGGCAAGTTGCCGGATAGCAGTATTGCGAACGTAAGTTACACACATGTCTTGCTCAATCTTAGTAGCATGCTAACGATTTGTACAGGCTTTCCGACACTTGAACGCTGTCACCGTACCCAAGTTCGTCGGTGTACCAAAGAACGACGAAGAGGATGCGAAGAGGGGAAACCAGTAGTTTTATCGTTATGTATCGAACAATCTAGCGCCGCGTACAATATCGTACTGCGTAAACTCGTAATTCATGAATTCATTACAACATCTGTCGTCTCTCATTACGCGCCGTTGAACATTCTGCCAAACGCTAGATGCAGGAACAGCGCAACTGCGCCAGCGCCTACACCTAGCACTTTCAGACTCGGTGACCCCGCAACGATCAATATCGTGCCGCATCCTCCTTGTTCCGCTCTCGGTAGATCGGGCCCATCCATTGTGATTGTAGCGCAGAAGCCGCCTTGTACCTGGTCCGGGTTGTGGTATACGGTCGTTTGAGGAGGTGGTTGAGCGTACACGACAGCTGTTTGCTGCTGGGGGTATACGGTCACGGTCGTGACTTGTGCGACGTTTACTGCGCCTCCGCATTGGTTTCCGCTTGGGCAGCAGCCGATCAGTCCGTTCGAGTTGCCAGGAACGGCGCATGTGTAGCCTGATGGACAGCACCTGGGTTTGATTAGCAACAGCCATGCCATCTCTCAAAAGTCCTACTCACCAACTTGGTTGGTTGACATTGCTGCAGCTTACTGAAGCTGACGAAGGACACCAATTTGCGTCTTGCGCTACGACTTGCTGTCCGTCTGGGTTTACAATGTACACAGCGCCAGAGAACGGCGCGTTGTTTGAAATCTGCTGCGGTATAGCCTCAGGCTTTGCGATCGGTTCCGCGACACATAATGTCAATGTCGCAGCGACGAGGCTCCAAGGCGCAAATGATCTCATCGCGTTGAAAGTCGCCGAGGCTGTCAGAAGAAGAAGCCGGGTAGTAGAACGAAAGTCTGCGGCAACGAACGTCTAGAAACCGAAGAAAATGCTGCGGGGTTAGTATGCGACGAAAAGGCACAGCCTCGAAAAGATGAGAGATCAAAATCAGCAGTCGTCGGGCGCATACCGGGCTGCTACCCTGCCCTTAAGTCTGACCGGAATACCTTGGAAGCTCTCAATCGAGAGCTGGGAATAGCTCCAAGCTTGCTGCAGGTTGGGCTAGCTCGTCATGGACAGCTTCATGCCGGCTTAGCGGGGAGTCGCACTATTGGTAGCCTCGACGGCACCGAGGTCTAGTCCGCGGTAGAGTGGTCCCACTTGGCTGCTTTTTGCGATAGACCATTGTCGGGCATGATGGCAAAACGGCGGTGTTGAGGTGTGATGGGGCTACAGGTGGCCGGGTGGACCTGGTAGGATGCTTGCTGCCCATCCTGTATACGATGCATTTGCTGGCAGCGGGGCGGAGGGTTAGAGATACAGTTTGCTAGAGTGAAGGCCTTGATTGTTCCCTGCAATGCGACCAAGCCACAGTTCTTGGGAGCGGCTGCATCGGATGGCATCGCGTGGTGAGGTGCATGCAGATAGTGAACGCAAAGCGCCGATCTTCCGATGCAGTCGAATTGGGTTAGCTGGCTTGGCATTCACGGCCACGTGACAGCGTAGAGCGGCGGCGATGAGACGCGTCGCGTTCCTTTGTTCTCATCCCACCTTGTGCACCAGCAACACAATATGACATGTCAACGGATCCGCCACCGCGTCCTTATCGGCTATACCCCGCCTATTGTTTCAGAGCATCACCTACATACAATATATGGGTGAAGCTCACTGCGGCGGATGTGCAAGCTCTTCGGTCTGAGAAGGACTTCCAAGGTAGCAGCCTTCGACGAGCGCTACGATTGTTGCTGACACATGAACAGCCCAGCGCATCTACTTCCATCTTAATCACCCTATCCGCTATGTACGCATCGTCGGCGTCGTCGTAGCCATCGACGATATCAATCTCAAATACACGGCCCTCACCATCGACGACGGTAGCGGCGCGACCATCGAGCTAAAGATCGTACGATTACCTCCTGCCGAGCAGAACCCGGTCGATACGTCCTCCGACACGAAGATCAAGAACCTGAACATTATCAGTCGATTCGGCATCTTCGACGTCGTCGTGGACGGCGAAGCCCTAGACATCGGCACAGTCGTCAAGGCCAAATGCCTCATATCCGAGTTCAGGGGCGTAAAGCAACTGGACCTGCAGCGCATTTCGATTGTCAAAACGACCAACGAAGAAGCACAAGCTTGGGCCGAGACTGCTGCCTTCAAGCAGGCAGTCTTGTCGCGACCATGGCGTATCACATCAGCCGAACACAAGAAGATCAAACATGCTATCAAGGCGGAGAAGAAAAAAGAACAGGATAATGAGCGACTGCAGGCGGAATATAAAGTCAAGAAGGAGGAGCGAAGGCTGGCGAAGGAGGCATATCTTGCGCAGAGGGAAAAGAAGCTTGAGGCGCGACGGAGGAAGGAGGAGGTCATGCTGAATAGCGGTGCCTTGATATGAGTTCGGGGTTCCTTCCCATATGAGGGTCTGTCAGCGAGCCAATGAAGCTGGATGAGTGCGGGGCTTTGGTGGCGCAGCACGCCTGATCGATCAGCTTGACCTTACGGTACCACATAGGCTGTCTCCAACCTGTTACGTGCAGCATCAAGGTTTTCAAACCCCGAGATCCTTTATCATGGAGCGCTTACTCGACCGCATGCGCGCGCAGAGTTACGACCTCGGCACAAAACTACGCCTGTCAAGATTTAGGAGACACGAACATACTGGCCAAGCCCAACCTAGAACCAGACCGCAGTCGGAGTCAAAGGCGCATTCTATTCTTTCTGAACATACCGGCCAGGCTGAGACGACGCATTCGAACCCTCACACAATACACGAAGCTCTTCAATACGACCCATTATCTCGAGATCGAACCATTCGAGTCATCGACTTGGCTCCCGGCACCTGGGACGAGCCTGTGACTTGGTCTTTGAGGACCGTCCACGTAGACGACGACGACACTCGCTACGAAGCCATCTCCTATGCTTGGGGTGACCTCAACGATCGCAAAACTGTCGTTTGCAACGGACATGTCGTTAGCACCACCCGCAGTCTGTTCGAGGCTTTGCAGCGCTTCCGATGCGCCGATACTACGAGGACGCTTTGGGCTGACGAGCTCTGCATCAATCAGGCCGATAACGAGGAGACGACCGTGCAGGTGCAGCGTACGGTCTTCATCTACGCAAGTGCCGTTCGCGTGCTCGTGTGGCTGCAACATGAAGACGATCCAATAGTTCAAGATTCACTTGATGCCATATGCCAATTCGTATGCGAGGAAAATGGCTTTACCCGATTCGGATATCCTGTTATACAACATCATGTGCTGTATCAGTGGTGTGGTGCCGAGGTGACCAGCGTCAGCAGGGAATATCCACCCGTTAACGATTCTGCTGCGATAGACGCCCTGCGTCGTATATGCGCCTCAACCTGGTTCACGCGACGACCGGTGGTTCAGGAGGTGGCTTTAAGCACGTCAGTGTTCTTCTTCTGGGGACACGCTAGAATCGCATTCGATTGGCTGGGTATTGCGAGCATGTGCTACATCATCAAGTTCGGCAATACTAGTGACTCCATACTGCATTGCTTTGAAGTCTTTCATTCCAGTACCAGCGGGGCTAACGTCCCGTAGTATTACGGTGGAATGTTGATGCAGAGCAGGGCAACAAAACGCGTTCAAGTAACTTCATATAGTGATCTTAATGTAGGTGTATTTCCTAAACACCTTATATTCGACCATCACAAAGACTCGGAACTTCCAACGCAGCCTGCTTTCATTGTGTCGACCATCACATGCTGCGATATGCTGCCCCGAAGAACGCTATCTTATTGGCTAGACCACTAATGTAGTGTAGTGCTTGTCCGTACCTGGAGTACCTTTAGGCCGCTCGTTACCTTCATTGTGACCACGGAGGTCAGTGCGGTCTTTCGTATATACGCCGTCTCGTATTTAATGCCTGGCGCTTATATTGCCCTTGTCAAATAGTCAACTCCTCGATCGTATTTTCTTGTCCCCCCCTCTTCTGGTATACGAGTACTTGAGAGGCCCATTCTTAACGCGCAACCGCTTGTATGACAGACGACTAATCCGCCTACGCTCTGTTCAAGTCCAGCAGCCCGCCGCACACCACAATTCCTAGTACGTCGCGATTTGCTTCCTCGACCAGATGTACCGCTCCGATGATTACGTGGACGACAAACTGATCGGTCGCATCTACCGACTCCGCCATGACCCGAGTCGCATGTTCTCAGTCTGCCTATCGCCCCCTCCGTCATCAAAGCTTTACCTCACCTCGGATCAATACAAGTGGAAAATGAGGGTACTGCCACCACAGAAAAACGATCAAATGCTGCAAGTCATCAAAAACACCATCATCGAGCTGAACAAGGAATCCATGTTCTTTTGGCGTATTGGCCTGGAAGTGTCACACTTGACTATGAGTCCTCCCCTGTGGCCCCGCCATTTGGAGGAGTACTCGACGAAACTGTACGCTTTTAAGGAAAAGAATCAAGAGTTTCCCATGGCAGTTGAGACAACACTATCTAGAGGCTGTCGCCGTTTGACCGAGGATAGCATTTTGTTACGCGAGAAAGACGACATGAACGGACCTAAACGCGGCATCCTGCTAAAGACGTGGCTTCTCTCGCTGGTCAATAGTAAAAATCATCTGGGTGAAGCTGGGTGGCAGCTTCAGCGGGGATGGTGGGCTTCGAACGGTCAAAACTTCCCCATCATGACCCTGCCCGCCGAGATACGCTGCGAGATTCTTCGACAGATCTTGGGTGGCAACATTTACCCCAACGCCAGAACGCATGTGGACGTACAAGGTCCGGTAGTCACTCTGGGTTCCAGGGCTCACAATGGTCCTATGGAGGACCGAATGCCGTCTCGGCCAGATCCACCCAACTACGCCATTCTTCGAGCCAACAAGCAAATACAAGAGGAGGCCCTTCAAGCGGCATGGGAAGGTACAACCAAACACTTCTCACATTGGATATTTCTAGAGACCGTCGTGCAGGCCCCGAATAGCCCATCTGGCTATCACTGGCTTACGCACGTTCAGCTATGTATGGACACGAAGGAGTGCTACGAGTTTTTTGGAATTGGCATTTACCCTGTCCTTCGATTATTGCCTCAAGGATCAAAAGGTCGCTTGCTACAAGGTATATCTTCCCTCAAAAGTTTCGAAATACTCTTCAAGTCACCGTACGACAGCTATGCAAATCCTTGGTCCCTGCTGCACCTCGAAAATCGCCGCACCTTGAAGCAGCAACCTTGTCATAAGATAATGGTCGAATGGGCATTAATCTTCGCATTTCCATACCTCAAGCACATCCCGAACGTTCGGTTCACCGGCTGTATCAAGACCTGCACAAAGACGAAGTGGGAACACATTCTGAGTAATGAGTACTACTTGCGGAAAGAAACCTTCAAGACCCATGGATACGATCCTGCTATGGAGGCTTATAATCTGCTGGAAGAACAGCGTCCTGTAGATCGGTAAGTGCGGATCAGTCTGATTTCCTGCGCGCGTTGCACTAACCGACCGTGGTAGACCACCTTTGTGCTTGTGCCCCGCTTCTTGCTCTGAAGATCGCCGTCCGTTTGATCGGAGAAGCTTTGATCATGACGACTCATATGCGTGGCCTCCACCATCGAAACCGCAACCACCGCAACCACCTCGGACACCGCCACCATCTCCGAAGAAGAGTGCGCCCGTTCGACCGGGCCAGCTCTGGTCAAAGGTCCACACAGTATGTCTACAAGCACTTCAGTGAGAACAGGTTTTACTAATATTGCTATAGACTTCACCCTGGGACCAAGACGCCCGGAACGACTGACCTCGTACGTCGCTGGCCTTTTGTAGTAGTGGAGCACCAGAATAAAACAACATGAAATGGGTGGATCTTCACGTTGCACCATCTCACATACGGTCGGGCGATGCATTTTTCTCTCGGTATCTTGTTGTAGCCTGTGCCAGTTAGCGCAGGTTGAGAAGCTGACGTTGTAGGGATTGGGACGAAGGGTTGGGCAAGACACGCTACTTGGTACATGGTCATGGGAAGGCGTACAGCTTGTGATCGTTCGATACGAAATTCCACCCCTTTATTCAACGTCTCTTGTCATATACTGAGATGTGTTCCAGAAAAGTGTTTTGAAGGTTTCGAGATCGCTTCATTCAGGTCGCAGGATCAGTCGGGTAGGTTCACGTGGAAAATATGAGAAGCTGCGAATGATCAGTAACAGCAAACAAGGCCCGGCTTATAAGCGGCGTATAGTAGGTTAGTCTAAGTCGCCAGAAGCCCTTCATTCGACAATCATGAGCGACATAGCTGAGCAGCTAACAAACCAACTAAGGCAGGACCTCGGCAACCTACCACAGTGGAAAACCGAGACCACACGCGAATGTCTCGACAACGGCGACGCACTGTGGAGCATCACCATAAAGTATCACGAAACGGCCTACGAATACCACAAACTTCGTCTGCTTGCTCGCACCGTACATCAACTGTGCAAAACGCAAATCGGCAAACATCCCGACATTACGGAGGGCATGATCAAAAACTGGCTCGCCGAGGATAAATGGACTGATGCTCAAGTGAGAAAGGAGTATCAGCGACAGTTCGATGAAGCGCAACTCAAAAAGCGTCACGTAAAGAAGCTACTGTGCGAGATGAGGCGGGATTACGGAGACTGCCATTTGGTCCGCGATACACACGTACGTAAATGGAAGAAGGAGGGTTTGGAAGAGGATCAAATCAGAGTCAAGTATCAGGAGTACATGAGCAAGGCTCCGTTGGCGAATCGAGTGGCGGCCTTGCGGTATCGCTTACAAATCGAGGTGTCGGACAAGTTGGTCATTTCGAATGCTGTCTTACTGGAGAAATGTCGTGACAATCCAGACGACCTCGCCATTGTAGACGCCTGTTCAGTGCAATTCGACACTGCTCGGGGAGAAGCTGCGGGAGAGGATGCAGGAGGTGTACAGGAGGGAGCTGCTGAGGAGGGGTAAATGAGAGTAGTCGGAAGACATGAAAGAGCATCAGTAGCAGCTAGACAATTTTTTAGCGGAGTGAATATCGCAAAATCATGGCTGTATTTGGTCAAAATCCTGTAGCTATACCTTGATCGGACTAGCGCACAAGACCCATTGCTGCGATGCAGACCCCATAGAAGATACAGTCTATCGTCTGTCTGACAGTATCGTAACATCGCCCTTACATTGCAGGACGGTGCGCTGTTTTGAAGGACGATACGCATACAAACGGCTTCTATTGCTCGTCAATATCTGGCCTCAAACCGACCCTGCGACTGGTTCTCAATCCCCAAAGTCAGAGTAAGACACCGCAAATCGCACGCCATGGTCGACAATGGCAACGCTACCCATGAATCCATGGTCACGCGTATTGCGCTAGGAGACTGGAGCAGGGACGAATGTCTATACATCCAGTTGCATAGCGAACTGCTCCTTGCCGTCGCGCACCTACCTGCCGCACCCTTTCATTCGATCAACGACATTTCTCAGTATGTTGGCTACTGTCAGTACTTCGCTCTTCCGGACGCCGCGACTAGTTACTCTCTAGAAGAGACAGGCAGCGGTGTGGTAAAAAGCATCAACACCTTCACTGCCAAGCGGGACGAGCTATCTGGATGGGTCATGTGGGCTCTTCAAGCGACGAAGATAAAAGCTACCTTCGACAAGAAGTTCCAAGAGGTCGAAGTGTCACCCGCCATGCTTCGGAAGTACCGCAAAATACGCGAGCGAATTGGCTTCGATACATACATATACAACCCAAAGTTGTACCCCGCGCTTTGGTCGTTCCTCGAAGTCGCTGCTCGGAACCAGTTTCCGGAGTACCAAGGAGACGTCACTCAGGCCGAGCACACACGAGATGTCGACAACGATGGTAGCGCCCACTCCGTGACCAAATCCGGACCTGTCAACGACCAGGCGAACACATCGGACCAGGACCTGATGGACGAGGGCGACACATCTGCCGCGGACGACGACATGAACTCCGGAGCGACTGATGAGGAAGAACAAGCAGAGCCTGGAGGCTTCGCGCAGGGTCAGTTCCGCGCTAGGTGTACAGGCACCAACAATGACGGAACGGCCTGTCAGCGAAGAAGTCTAGATATTGAAGAGAAGGATCGTGCGAGTTGGCGATGCCATCTCCATGATCCGGAGAAGAAGAAGATCACTGCCGCTGCTCGCGCAGCAAGGAACGCAGCGAAAAAGGCAGCTGCGGCATCAGAGCCCAAGAAGCAGAAGGGTGGTAATAAGGGAGGAGAGGGAGAAGATGCGAACGCAGGCGGAAAACGCGCTCGGAAGGCTGCAGCAGTGGCAGGAGAAGGAGAAGGTCGGGCATTCAAGAAGCGCTCGAAGTAAGCGCCAGCAGATAGAGAATGGTACATCCACGGATATCGGCAGGCCTCGAAGTCGCTTCATACATATCGATAAAAGAGTTTGGGGAGAGGGCGAATATGACTGGAGGACATAACCGGCAGGAATGATTTCGGCGGCGCATGAAGCCTGTCGTAAGGTACAATGGAGATAATAAAAGCGAGGCGCTCATAGTGCATCTGAGTTTTGCGGAAGCATTTCGGCTTCGTGGTGTTGACCGGCTTGCTGTTTCAGTAGCAAGTCCTGTAATAATCCAATGAATAATTGAAATGTCTGCAATCGAGCCTTCTTGTGAGATCATTTGTGGCTACATGGCAATGTCGTCAGTCATTGAAGGTGCCGTTTGGGCCAATGTGCGATTTGTTAGGGCGGCGAGCGATGAATGATGAGATGCGCGGGTGATGGGCGTGGGCGAAGGCTGGTGAGGAAATAAGGACAAGTTTGCAGCACGCTATGACATCATCACTATTCAATGTTTCCGACGCGTCCGCGACGCGACAGCAACTCCGACCCCACCCTCCAACAGCACCAGCGCAGCCCCGAGATGTCATTCCCGCCACCTATCCATTTTCTCTTCTTTGCCATCTCTGTCTTCTTGATCGTATCTTTAATACCCCTTCAAGCTTTCCACTCCTCTCGAAAACATTCTCCTCTCACCGCTTCTTTCCAAGCCTCGATAGAGAACGGTTTCGCATCGCTCCAGCCTTGCTTAGTCTTGTGGATGCGAACACCAATAGCGTGTCGATGGTTATTCCGATCACGACTCCCCGATAGGACGACCGTTTCAGGATCCTCGTAGTGATCATTCGCGAGCATCGAATCTTGATCCAGGCCATTACGACCTCTCTGCAGCAGTATATCTGCAATGAACTTGTGGTACTTGGGGTCTTCGACATCTACCATGCGATCTATGAGTTTACGGTCGATGTACCAGGTTTTCCTGCGAACTGTAGTGCCAGCTTGCAGTGAAATGCTACCAATTCGTTGCCAGAACTTGTTCCTGGTACTTGGAAGAAGCGTCACGGGTTCTGTATCCGTATTCCTCACCAGATCTATAACTCCGAGACAGCTGTACTTGATAGCCATTGCTATGCAGAAGTTCGCGAATTGTTGTCCGCCATCAGAAAGAATCCGTTCCAACTTTTCCAAAGCATTGTCGCCTTTGAGACCTCCACCACGGGACACAAAGGCTTGGCTTTCTTTAACGGTGACTTCGATATTGCCTTTGTTGATCGTTGCATTGCGGCCGGCGCGTCCATACCTGTACATGACTGCGCAAAGAGCATCATTCAATAGTCTACCAACTGTCCCAAACTCCCTGGAAGTCTGGACCCATCCCCAGGCCAACAAGTCGTTCAACTCAAATGAGATATCGAACTTGTCGAGGTTATTCGCATCGGCAACGGGTGTGTCAATCCATCGCAGGCGAGGCTCCAGAAATAAACCACGTTCACGAGTTTCAGGTCTATGAATAATTATCCGGAGGGCATATCGTAACCCCAGTTGAAGCGAAGATGAGCGCTGAAGCACCTCGGTACGAAGTTGACGTGAGGCCTGACAGAGGCCAGCAGCGTGGTGCTTTACGGGGCGAGGAAAGACGGTGGGCGAAGATCGATGATATATATCGTAAACGTCGGATTCGGATACATCCGCCGGCTGCGGGTTGTGCGTAAGTAGCAGGAGATCGACGATCTCATCGCGAAGCTCTCGGGGCAGGGTGAGTAAGGAAGCCATGGCTGCACAGTCTGACCGAAAATGGGGCCAGCACTACATTTATAGAGAGTCGAAGATGCGGAATTTTGGAATTCAGGCTGCTTCATTGGAGTACCAAGAGTTGCAATGCTAACGATGACTCGTAGGTAGTAGCCCCTAGCGAGCCACCCACAGCCATCGCATTTCAGACGCAACCAATATACGAAGAGCTTAAGGAGACATCCAGGGCTTTTTTTTTTTCGCAAGGGTCTGCTTCAGTGTGTGGCACTGTGGGGCGAAGTTACCATGGTACCGCCAAATTCTTCTTAAGCCTCCATCTTTTCCGACGTTTTCTCCCACGTCCCCCCAAAAATATATCGCTTAAACGCAAATTTCATTACGGGCAACATAGTTGTACGACAACCTCTTATCCATGCCTTCACTTACCAGAGCCATGGCAGACCGCAGATGGAAGTGCGTCTCAGCCAGTCGCTACGCCGTGCAAGTCTCGCTTTGCATGTTTGCAGTCTACCTTTCCAGCCTCATCACGCAGACGTCTACTCCCACAGTCATGATATGGGGTAGCGCGCCATACATCGGCCTTGTTGTCGCTTTCGGAACACGATTCGGCCCACCCGGTATGACTGCGTCCCAGACATACTGCGTAATCACTACAGTCATACTCTTGTACCTCGACAAAGCTGCGACGGCTATTGGCAAGACTGCCGAACCAAACTTCGAAGAGACTGGACTTCAGCACCGCGCTGTACACTTTGCGCTTGCCTTCTTTGTCCTTTCGGAGCTGGAATACCACCGACAATACTACGCTACCAAAAGCTTCAAGAAATCGGACAAATCCTCGTGGCGTTCTTGGATCGCTGACTCCGATCGTACGTTTAATGTCTCGAGACATCAGAGTGTATATTGGCATCTGGGATCTGTCGATGAAAGAAACAATCAGGAATTGAAGGAATCCTTCGCATCAACGGTGTACTACATCCTACGTGTGCTCCTCCTCGACAGCCTACCCTTTCACTTAGTCGGCGGATGCTTTAATAACGCCATCAACAGCACGGTGAATCCGACCCCTGCGAATGGTCGCCTGGCCATGCAAATGATCGGAAACTTCAATGTTTTCTTCAACACAAAGACTATATGGGGCGTCTACTTGAACCTCTGGGTACTGTCCAGGGTCGTACGACAAGCCAACTTCATCACTGTTTGGGGCATCTTCCGAATGTCATCTGGTGCTCTTGGCTGGTGGAAAAGCAAGCGAGGAACTGGGTGTCACGAGCATTACGAGAAGTTGCAGGGTGATCAACAACTATGATCAATATGCGGAGAGCATTTTGGACTAGTGTAATAGTAATGCTAATTCATTGGAGTCTAATTGCCACATCTTTTACTGCAACAGCATCGCCATAACATCAGCAGGCGTTCTCTTCGGCGCTGCGATCTCCAGAACCTCCTTGCTTGTCGTTTCCGCCTTCGCCTCGCCATTCCACGCCGATTGCGGAGCACGCTTGATAGAACCTATCACGTTCTTTGCCTGGTTCGACGCAGCGACCATGTCGTCTACGAAAGACAGATCCTTGAACTTGACGTCCTCAACCTTGGCGCCGATGTGCTTCTCGACCATCGCTACAACTTCATCACCCGTGATATCCTCCGGGCCATTGAGGACATACCTGCGCTTGTTATGCGCAGAAGTGTCTTCCTGGAGTAGGAGATGCGCAGCAAATACACCAACGTCATGGGGATCAATAACGCCGACTGGCCCATCAGCGCTCGCCATCGTGCGCAATGTGTGTTGTTTTCCGCCGTTGCGAACGGCCTTGATCAGCTCAGCAGCGGGCATAAGCCAGAAAGTCGTGAACACATTTGGCTGCAGTGATGTCCAGTGCATACTTTCATAGGCGGGTGAGTCCAGCATGGCTTCAATGGCCCAGTGCGTACGTGGGTAGTAGGCAGGGCAGTCTGGCTTCACATTCGCGGCTGTTGTGGATATGCGCACAACGTACTTGACGCCAGCGTCACGGGCTGCAAGGTGGAATGTCGATTCTTCGGCGAATTGGTTGGGCTCGTTGTGTGAAGCTATGAATGCGCGGGCAACATTGTGTTCGCGTAGCCACTCCGCGGTGATCTCGACCCAGGTGTATTCGATAATTTCGACATGGGGGAATTTGGCGAGAGCTTTTGCTGAAGAGCTGTTTGCAGATCGTGTGATGGCGAGGATGCGATAATCGGAGAACGTCTTGCTAGATTTGATGAGGTTCGAGAGGGTCTCAACAACACTGCGGCCAGTGTTGCCTGTGGCGCCGACGACTAGGAATGAAGAAGCCATGATCAGGAAGGTGAAAATAAAGATGATTGAGTTGGAGGGCGTTGTTTCAGTGCAGGCTGATGATGCATGTTAATCGATCGAGGTATCTTCCTTTTGTACAAAGTTGCGGAGTGTGGACGACTCCGGAGTGTCACTAGCTGCGGAGTGCAACCAGCTGTTGAGCGCTGCGCGTTACATCACGCACCCGGATTTTGTCCGAAGTCTGACCAATCAGCTAAGCGCGGAGTGGGAGCCGTTAGCAAGATGTGGCGGGCGCTAGAAGAAGATGGGTACCTCGCGCGACGACCATCCAACACTGAAAAAAGAAAACGCGGAAGCGGAACAAGCAGAACAGCAGGAATTGCGGGTTTGTTAGTTATCAAATGTTGGAACAAGCAGGAACCAAAATCGCATTCGTACTACTCCATGAAGAGATCAACGACCACACATAACGTCCAACCCCCCAATAACACTGCGCCATCTGATGCGCACTTATATAACATTACAAAAATACAAAGACCAGCTCAGTACCCATAGGCCACCGTTTGTCCATGCACGTGGAAAGCGGCTGCTGCGCTGAACGACTTGATGTCTCCATGGAACCTTCCACCTACTCTGCCTCTTCCTCGTCGCTATAGTTCTCGTCAACCACAATCTGACGAGTAGCATGAGTTTCTTCAACGATCGTAGTCTGTTCGATCGCAGTCTGTTCGATTAGACGACCTTGAGCAGCCTCAGCTGCGGAGTCTTCGAGCGCGGCTGAGACCATCTGCTGTTCGGCGTCGTCATAGTCTTCCTCCCCCATCTCTTCGTCTTGCTCAGCATCGTCGCCTTCAAACATCACTGATGAAGAATCATCACCATCTTCATCCTCGTAGGCGCCGGCCAGGACTAGGAGATCTTCTTCGTCCTCGTCAAGCGCGGGCTGCTCAGCATATGGAGGAAACACCTTGGTCTTCGACTTCTTAGCAGACCGCTCTTGGTCTTGAGAGTCTTCCGAACCACGGCGCTTCCGTACCAGAGGGCTACCGAACCCATCTTCACTTTCCGATTCCTCCACGGCAGCCTGTGACTTCTTCTTGTTCAACGGCTTCTTCTTGGCTGGCTTCTTAGGCTTACCACCCTCGTCGTCGCCATCGTTGCCGTCGTGGGTGTCGTCGTACTCCTTTAGTAGAGCCTTGTCCGGCTTCCCAAAGGCGGCCACCAAGCGCCCCGACGCTTCGAGTGCCTTGGCTTCAGGCGAAGGGTCGCCGCGCCATCTTACATTCGGTGGGTCTTCGCCACGATCGTAGCATGGTTTGTACGATGTGTACTGGTAGCGAGTGCTCTCTACTGTCCGACCATCAGAGAGTTTCCCGAAAGGAGTGGCTTCCCTGAAGTCCTTGCCCTTGAAGCGATCGTTGTGAAGCTCAGTCAACTCCCAAATGGATGCGTCGGGATTGTCCCGCATGAGGGAAGCCAGATATTCTCGCTCGATTTCCGACCACGGTGGATCAATGGTCACGCGATCAATACCCTGGTAACGGCGGTCGTTAAGAGCCTTGACTGTTTGCTTGTCATTCCAGTCTTTTGGTACCTTGTTATAGCAGTAGATGACCGGCTCTCTCTTGTGGGATGTAGGTTCGTTCTTATCCTTCAACCGCATGTCCATGAGTGGGATGGCAAGTAGGTCTTCTTGGTTCTTATCCTGAGGGAGCTGATCAATGTTGTCCGGCTCAACCTGGAAATTGTGCTTTGTGTCGCGCGAACCGCGCTTGTACCGGAAGCCACGATTCTCCCACATGGGAGGCTCAGTCTGACCCATGCTCTCACGGGCGGAAGGCTGTTTAGGGCTGGGCCGAGGATCACCTGACACAGGCTTTACACCCCAGAACTTGCTCCATTGGTCCGTCGGAGGAATGACAATACTATGGGTGTAGGAATCGAAGCCTTCTCCGACGGGCGGCTTTTTTGGCTTGGCCTTTGGCTCCGTGGCGGCGGGTTCCTTAGGTGCTGCGGTCTTCCTGGACTTCTTGGGGGCAGCGGCTTTTGCGCCCTTCCTGGGTTTCGGGGTAGGAGCGGCTTCTTCTGATTCTGACTCGTCCTCATCTGTGGGTCCTCCTTCCTGCTCTTCGACGGGCGCGGCAGCATCAGAGGCACTGGATTCGTCTTTCGCACTCGCAGACGCCGCTTCAAAACTAACAGCCTTCTTCACTTTCCTCGGCGTTTTGGGAGTCACACTCTGCCCGAGCTTCGAATCGGCGGGCTGCTTTGACATGTCGGGATGAGTCAGTTGCGTATTGGTGTATTGGATCGAGCCAGGTGGTGGAGTAGTTGTATCGAAAGCACAGACAGGTTTCAAGAGCAATTGGATGGGGTCGCGTGTAGAGTTGTTGAGTCGGGTGGCAGAGGAGGGAGCGAAAACCTTGCTTTGCGGGGTGGGAGTGGCGCACTGGTAGAGAGTTGACGCGCGTCTGGATTGGGAAGACATAATTGCAGTGGGAGACGGGGCGCAATAAGTAGGAGGACGGGGCGCGGCCATTGTAAGGCTACGCGTGAAAGGTCGTTCTGGGGCGTGAGGAGGGCGCTTTGACATCTAGATCGCACAGTGTAGAAATACATCTTGCGCGTTTGGTGTCCTTTGAAAGTGAACCAAAGTTGTGCGCGGATCAACAAAGCCAGCAACAGTGTAAGCAAGCCCACCCGACAATGTCCCAGGCGGACAAAGGTAAAAGGGTACGACAATTTCTCCTCGCGTGCGCTCAACTAGGTCCTTCTATCGACGTCTTTCGAATGATGTGGTCATCTCGGTCGCTTCTCTTCACTATGCGGATAGTGTCCACGTAATTTGCGCGCAAGAAACCTTCTCAGCCAAGTACATGTGACTGACCTGAGAGTGCCTGACGCACAATGCCACATAGCGACGTGACCATGTGAAAGCTCATCGCTTGGCGGTGCCTGCGATACCGCATTGCTAGGGCAACGCGAGGGAATGACCGCGCTCCGCTGCTGCACGAGGTGAATGCTGCGTACCTCTCCTGCAACCTGGGGCTTCCGATATACCACAAGCAGTCGGTTCGGTTTCTCGTTAAGAGTATGGAAGCCAGGTACCAGAGTCATTGTGTGGATCAATGAAATATATCGCAAAAGCTTGGCTGGTGAATTTCATAATCGCGCTTTCTGCTTCCTCGCGCAAGCGACCATCCTCGAACTTTACCTACGTCTCGCAGCAAAGTATTGAAGCGCGGCACCATTTCTTTGGCTCGGGACTGACTTATGAATGAAGAGTTGGTAAGGCACGCAAATGGCCGTACGATAACGGAAGTGTATATGCTGCTGCCGTGCAGGACATAAGCTTGGAAAAAGGTGAGAGTGTGAAAATGGAGGAACTTTGCATAACCACAGATTTTTGATCGTTTGTTTTGTAGCAGCGCACGCAATTGAACGGCTTGGTCTAAATGAGAAAGCTGTAGTCGGCAAATGTGACGACAGAGACAGCTGTGGACAGGAAAGGGGACGGGACGTCGGGAGGTTTGCCAATCGATAAGATAGCCCTAGCGCCTTGGCATACGTAATGACAGCTAACTCGCGATCACGACTGCTGCGAGCCTCAGCTAGTTCAATCATTGATGTTGAGGTGTATGAAAAGCCTTCACATTGATTGAGTATTTTGCGGGCTTTGCGTACATTGCGTTCACCACTATCCCACCGAACCTGACTATCACTGGACGCTCACGGCGATCGGCGGAGTTACCTGATGCCGATGCGCTCACATAGCACGTCGCGGTCATCACGTCTTCATGGGCCGGAAAGCGCAATACGCTCGCTCGAGCAGCGGATTACAACATTGAACCAGAACGGTAATCTATCTCGCGTCGCGCGATTCATAGTGAACAGTAAAGTGATTGCGACGGCGTTCCAAGAGGTATCAGAAGATGCCGCCTAGGTTGAAATTGGAATGGTAATTAGACATTATAACACTGAACACATCCAGCCAACGTTCATGCATCTTAAACGGTGCGTACACTATTAGAAACCAACATCCCAAGTCAAAATTCTCAAACTCTACTTCAGGCCATGTTGAGCTCTCCGAATGGCGTGGCGGTTAGCCAGGCCCATGCTGGGCGCAAGAGCAGAGCGGGAGGTATCAGGACCAGCCCGACGCTCGACTATAACTCCTTGATAGCCAATAAGGAGATTGCCTGCACTGAAGCACGTGTGTTAATCGTGACGAGACAGATCGACTGTGTCAACGTCATTGACCTTCCTCTCAACCAACCGCTCTTCCACCCGGGCCTCGGGTTCCCGAGCCGCGATCGATATCGACACCGCGGGACAGCCGACTAGCGGCGGCGGCTGGCGGGATCAATGGTCCATGTCATGACACGGGTCGCGGGCTGGCGGTAGCTCGGTGTGCAATCTATGCATCTGCCTTTGAGTTGAGGCTTGCCGGGCTGAGCGCATTCATGATGCGATTTCGTATAGTTGATGCTGCCTGTCGATACTTGTTCGATCCGGGAATGAGATTGTGGTGGCCATAGCGCATGGCTTTGAAGGGCGGCCCGGGTCGATGGGGACAGGACAGCGACTAGTGCGTGCGACTATGCGAACGCTTGTACCTGCATGACGATATCATGTTTTGTTTTCAGAGACTGGCGTCGCTCGCACGGCTGCCGCTGCGTTGAGAGAAACTTGAGAATCGTCGGTACAATGTCCTCACTCTGCCGAATAGAGTGGAGTCGCTTGAGAGTCCATCGTCAGGGAATGGGGATGGTGAGGGGACTTCGGGTACAGCTCGCTCGCGATGCTGGAGGTGCTCTTCGTCCATGCGCAAAAGGTCCGCTTCGAACTGCTCCATCACAGTGAGGGCTGGCGCAAACTCGGGGCTCAAGAAGTTGTTGAGTGGTGGAGGGACGGCCTCCTGGCTCGCAGAGTAGTATAGCTGGGGCCTCATGTTGTTGAAGGGGTGAAGATGTTGGAGATCTTGAGGATGTTGATGCGATGTGCTGCTGTGGATGAGATGCTGGCCTACTTTCCAGAGGGTCGCGTCGCGTTTATATCACAGTATCGCATGTCGTCATGCTCTCTTCCCATCCCACACGCGCTAAGTCGCGTGGCAGCTCCAATATCGTACCTGAACCCCACGAGCCGTGCGCAGTTTCAATACAATAATAAAATAAGACGTTCCGGAACGATCGCATGTCATTTTCCCCGATCGCATGTTATTGTCCGATCTAGTGGTCACCAGCATCGTCATGGCCTTGTTCCAGACGGTACCCCTGAGACTTCCCGCTTTCCGGGGTCGATCGATCGTAGCGCGTCATCAGGGATGCTGCATCATCTGGCAAGATCCAGGTTTCACCCTAGCAGACAGCCCCGTGCGCGATGTGCAAGAATTGAAGAATGAAGTTGTCGGTGGCTTCTTCCATGCGCTCCTGAATCTCGTGAGAAAGGTCTTGGTGTTGTAGGCTGGCATCGGCTCGCGCTTTCCGACAACACCCTGCCTACCTCGGCTCATCGGGCGAAGACGGCCAATGCGGTGACGCTCCTCACGAACACCTCGATGACCAGCCGTGAGCACCCTATCGTCATCGCAACGACACATAGAAATAATGCCCATCCCCACACCTTTCGGCGGTTTTCTGCCCGCTGCTCGAGATCCACCATCTGCATTTCTTGCAGCTTACATAGCAAATCCAGGCCTTAAGTAGACGATACTGCCCGGGATGCCCACCCCACCCTTCTCCCAAGACCGCCGAGACTGGCTGAGCGAAATTTCTGGATTATTTTCCCAGCGCAAAACCAGGGACGTTAAGAACACGACATCTACGTCAACTGTAAACCTTAGATTCGGCACCCCTAAAGCTTTCGATTCTGTTTCAACTTTCAGTTCGAGATCTCGAGATGACGCCTCCACCAAAGATCAAGCAATGGCTCACGGGCCAGGACGGGCTCGATAAGCTCAGGATGGGCGAGGCGGAATGCCCAACCCCTGGCGAAGACGAGGTGTTGGTTGAAGTCCATTCCGTGAGTCTGAACTACAGGGATACCGAAGGTACGTACAGTGTGATGTGGTCACACCTACTTTTGTGGCAGGGTCCAGACGGCCAGTTGAACAACGCTAAATACGTGTACAGTCGCCATGGGCCTCTACAACCACCACAAGTCCGTAGAACATCCCCCCGCTATTGTCCCATGTAGCGACATGTGCGGTGTAGTTGTTGCGGTTGGTCCGGTTTCCAACAACACTTCAGACCCCTACAAGAACCCAGCTTTCCAGCTTAAGGAAGGCGACAGGGTCATCAGTACATTTGCGCCGAAGCATCTCAGCGGCCAAATCAAGGCCTCAGACATCGCGGGTGGCCTAGGCGGACCTGCCCCTGGCGTATTGACGCAGTACCGTGTGTTCCCCACGTATGGCGTTGTCAAGATTCCAGATTATCTATCTGATGACGAAGCCGCATGCTTGCCAATCGCAGCTGTAACCGCCTGGATGAGCTTGAATTGCATGCGACCAAATGGCGAGATCATTGGCCCGGGCGAAAAGGTTCTGTGCCAGGGTACTGGCGGTGTAAGCATCTCAGCAGCCCAGATCGCATCCGCAGCAGGCGCAGATGCCATCGTCACATCTTCCTCCGACGAGAAGCTCCAGCGCGCGTCTAAGCTTGGTTCGAAGACCACCATCAACTACCGCAATACTCCCGACTGGGAGAACGCAGTCCTTTCTGCTACTTCCGACGAAGGCGCTGACATCATCATCGAAGTCGGCGGTGCGCAAACGCTCCGCAAGTCATTCGAGTGCGTACGCTTTGGTGGTCTGATATCCTGCATTGGCTACCTATCCGGCAAGCAAGACGAGGCTGGCGACAGGACAAACACGAACTTGCTGTGCCTGAAGAGGAATGTCACACTCAAGGGCATTGTAAACGGTCCTAGGACTGAGCTCGAGAGAATGCTCAAGTTCTACGACGAGAAGAAGATCAAGCCAGTGGTCGACCGCGTTTGGAAGTTCGAAGAGGCGGATCAAGCGATCAAGTACCTTTTCAGCGGAGGTCACTTTGGAAAAGTTGTCATCAAGGTGAAGGAGTAGACGGTATCATAGGTGCGTAGTGGATCAAAATACACCATGATCAAACATCCAACATTTTGTCACATCACCCAGTCCGTCCAATGTCATTGTGCATCGTCTTGAAGTCTCATGGAAAGTTATTTTAATTGCGCAGCATTTTAATCTACTGGAAAGCTAGTAGTCGCGGCTTGTACAATAATGTGAACAAAGATCGCTCATTGTCTGCAGTATGGTCAACGCCACACCTCGAACTAAGCCGAAGACTGAGCGCGCCGCTCAGCATCAACGCTCGCACCCCACTTTCGGAAGGCCTTAGTGAAACGCTTCGTTTCCTCAATAGCCTCTTCATACTCGTCAGCAACGACAAGCCCCTCATACCACGAACGCTCCGTCTCAGCCAGCACAAGACGCCATTCCTTGCCCTCCTCGAGCGCCCATGCCAAACCGTGAACACCCAGGCGAAGCAACCATAAAGCAGCAGAGATCTTAAACCCCCACAGCTCGCAGTTCTCTCGGTCTGCCGTAGGCCAGTTCTCTTCGTGGTCCATTACAGCTTCAATGACGCTGTAGAGACCTTCCTGGAAATGGAATGGAAGTCGGTGCAGACAATGCATGATGTTGCTGATGTTGTCTTGGAACGGCTTGCTTTCGTTGGACCATTCCCAGGCGCAGTTGGCGAGGGTCTCGAGGCCGGCGATCAGTGATAGGCAGGCGTCGCACTTGAACGTGCTGTTGCAGGTCTTGCGGCATTCGGAGGGGCGGAGGTGGTGCCGGCAGGTCTCGACTGCGGTGACGTGCTTTTCGCCCTATATTATGTCAGTTGGAAGGCTTCAACGGCCAAGGAGGGTAGTCCTGACCTTCTCGAAGAGACTATCCTCAGTGCGTGTGATCTTGATGATCTCGGTCCAGACATCTTTCGCAGCAGTGGAGGATTGTGCGGATGCCTCTGGGTAGTCGCCAGGGGATACAAGGACGAAGTCGTCGATCTCTTCAACTTCGTCGGTCATACTCCCAGCGCCCTTGCTACTGACGCTGTTTGCAGTCTCTGGGATGTTGGAAACAGGCATATTCGTCGCGAGTGTGAGTTGGTTGGTATTATACTTTATAAAGAAGTTGTGGTGTGGTTCGAATCAAGGCGCGGAGCTGTGAGTCTGACGTTTTATATAGCAAAAGAGGAGCAGAACACAGCTAGGGAATACCATTCAGTGAGTGGGTCTGGAAGAGGTCCGTTCACTTAAGACTTTCTTCCAGAAGGAGAAGTGTGCGGTGAATGTCTGCATCGCACTCTCTCGCAATGTGCAGATGACCAGATCAGGCACTCATCTGTACGACTATTCAGGCCACAGCAGAAGAACGCCATCAAGCGTACTCGGAGAATATATGCTTGGGGATATCCTTGTTAGCTACAAGCTATAGCAACTATTTGTACCCAAGCTGACTTCCAAGCAAACGTAAAACTCGATCCTACACGCTTCCTCGACTGAGGCAAACATCGAGCCCACATATCAAACATGACCAGTGCCAGAAAACACATGTGTGCCCTGGCCTGGAAGTCCCATCGACCCATCAGTCGTCGTCTTCAGTCCGACCCTTATTAGCAAACATCCCCGCCGCGCCCCTCCCCCACATCGTCACTTCCGCAGCAACCCGCATAAGCTCCATCTTCTTCTCCTCATAATCCACTTTACCCTCATTCACCACAATCCACGCCTCCTCCGCCCCCAACAAAATCTGCATCTCGCTTTTCCCCTCCACCCTTCCCAGCATAAGCCCCTCAGGCCCAAGCTTCAGCGCCCAAATGACCACCGAGATCTCGAACTCCTCGTCGCGGACGACTTGGCGTTCTAGCTCCATCCAGTCGTCTGTATCGAGTATGATGGAAACCACGATAGAGAGACTGAGCTGGTGTTGCGGCGCTAGCATGTGCAAGTATTCCGCGACAAAAGAAGGCTTAGTAGGATTGTCGGAGAAGATCTCGGAGCAGATGCGTAGGGTATCCAAGCCGTCGATGATTGCATTCGATGTCAAACTAGGATGGGGTCTGGATTTTGTTTCGATGGCGAGGATTTTGGCGTAGTAGGCGATGATGTCTTGCGCGCTTTTGTCCTGGGCGGAAGCGTTAGTATACATGATTGAGCTTTGAAGGGCGCCTGTATGCTTACTTCGATGGTTTTAGCAGTCTCGTCACGAACGAACACGTAGCTGCCATCAGGATGTCTCAGCGGAGTATCATTGGGCAGGGCGACGACTTTCTTTCCGTCGACGAGCTGGGTGAAGTCTTCTTGGCTGTTATCGTGGTTCATGTGAGGTTTCCCTGGGGACGGCATGATAGTTAACGTCGTGACGAGAAGACTGTAGACTCTGTATGTATTGGCGGAGTTGAGTTACCACGAGAGTAGAGAGCCCGGTGTTCTTTCTCTAGGCCGGCCATCGCTTTGGTATATGACAGGAAGTAGGTCAGTGCATGGGGCGCGATTCAATGCCAAGATGATGCGATATGCAATCTATAATTGAGCTTTCTCTTCCGTGAACTACTTTTTGAACCATGACGTTAATTTGTGCCTACGTCCGTGCTCGCCACTGTAGGGAGCCAGCGAGGAACGATATAAGCTAGACTACCCCCCTCTCATGCCTCCCGCTACTGCTGAACTCGGTATCTGCTATTCGTCTCGCATGCCGGGCTTTCTCCGCCACGATTCTCCGCTCAATCCTGCAAGATCAATCCCGTAGATCGAGCGTAGGAATAGTGACAATATGGTCTATCCTCATCAGCAACTCGATGCGTGGTTATCGAATTTTGACTTACCTTCACCATATGCGGCAGATCTTCTCCATTGTCATTGCCACCACTGCCTTCAACACCGGAAGTCTTCTTCTCCGTCGCTTTCTTGACACACCCCTTCTTGACACCACCGTTCTGCGCTTCCGTTTTATGAGCTCCGTTCTTGGAGTCTACATCGCCCTCCTCTTCACGCTCTGAGAGCTCACAGTCCGATCTCGAGCCTTCGGTGACAGAAGATGCGACATCGCTGTAAGAATGGTAGTCAGCTTCTACGAATACGTAACTGTCTTCCATTTCTTGATCCTCGGCGAGCTCTTCGTCTACAGTGACGACGTCTTTATCAGTGTCGGGTAAAATTCCACAGGTGCCTTGGCTGGGCTTGATGATGGCGCGATCTTTGTCACTGTTGTCGTTGCTAGCGGTTGGGTGTTTACTGGAAGACATGGCTCAAACTGTACGTTGGAGGATGTTGTGACGCGTTAGAGAAGGAATAGCGTAGTCTGGTGTGCCCGCGAGTTGGGTGACTGCGCTGCTGTTGAGTGACAGTGTGAAGACTTCCATACTAGAGTAGCTGCGTATATGTGCGCCTTGAGAGTTCTATACCAGATCGCGCCACTAAGGCGACATTCAATCCTCTTTCACTCATGTCAATGAGAAAGGCTGCAATCCGCATGGAAGCGACCCAAGCTTCATTATATCAACATTCCACCAGCAGTTGCTTGCCCTTCGAAGGCAAATGGAGCCCGAGTGAAGCAAGCGGGCGTTCGAGGAATGGCAAATATGGCGAGCCACTCACGGCCACCGCATCAAGTGAAATCAAAAGATACGACCCTCGTTTGAATGGGAGAAATCAAGAGAGCAAGGACCCAATCGTCATCATTAATGATGGCGAATGCACAAGATCATAGAGCGTGAAGTCCATGAAGCCTCAGTAAATTTGCGACAAGTGATGTCGAAGAACGTTGATTGTGAAAGCTTCTTAACGATCATAACTTCGATGCTGCGCCCTCTTCATATTCACTCAGCTCTTTCTTGTCGCAATCCCTGGGGCTTTCACCAAACTCCTTCCCCTTGCGACATGACAGTTCTTCGGCACTCTTCCACTTCCAGGCCGTATCTTTCTCCTCACCGTTGCCCTTGCCGCTTAGTACGTTGCACATGTATGAGCCGGCGACGGGGAGGAATCTGATGGGATGATTAGCATTGCGTGCGTGAAACGAAAGGTAAAGTTACTTACTTGTACGAGTGAAAGCTACCGCCAACGGCGAGGTACAAGTTGGCGAGCTTTTCATGTGGATGTCGACACATTAGCCAGTCTTCAGTTGGTGTAACGGCGTCGTAGCAAATTCGCCATCGATCTGGTCGTCTGCTGCGTGTCCAATCCGGCATGGCGTTATGCATGATCTGTGCGCTCTCACGCTTCAGCCTCTCAGGGACGTCATTCTGGTTCCTTCGAGATGGCATAGTGATTTTGTGGCCAGAAGGGGTGGTCACCGTGTTGATGACTTCAGTCTTAATGTCATTGATTTTCAGCGTCCGGTTTGGTTGCGAGGGTGGGATAATGTCGACCTCTCCACCAATGACGATCACGGGTACTGTTTCGTCGATCATGCTCTGAGTGTCTTGTTCGTTCAGTGTATAGTAAGCAGAGACTCGTCCTACAGCGGTGATCTGGCGCTCGATGCGGTCTTGTTCCTGGATCTTCAAAGCATCCTCGATCGGCGACATCAGAGAGCTGGTCCATGCTCCTGCTGCCAACACGATCTTTTCGGCTTTCAAGACTTGACCATCTCTCAGCTTTACACCTGCTAGGCTACGGTGGTCGGCGCTCAGTAATAACTCTTGCACGTCTCCAGTCACCCTCTTGACCCCAAGCTCAAGTGCAACCTTCGTGAAGCTTTGCGTTGCTTTTTCTGCGTCGCACCAGCCCGCTTCGCGATTGAAATAACCCTTCCCATATTCTTCACTCTTGATGCCTTTTGTCACAGCGTACTTATCCAGCTCTTGTGGTTCTAGATCGCGGGTGTAGTCGCCCCCTCTCTCAATGAACGTCTTCCTTATCGCATCGCCAAAAGTACCGTCCTTTTTGTCTAGCACGACCCAACCAGTCTTGTGGAAATGACCCTGCACTGCTATACTCCAGAACCAAAAATGAATAGCTTCATTGGCGAGATTGCAGTAAAGATGTGACTCGTAGTCGGTACGAATAATGCGATTAGTGTCGATGGCTGCCGCTTGCTTTTGCTTTAGGGGTGTATTGCTATCCCAACGGTCGACGATGGTAATCCGAGATGGATCTTTGTATTGTTTGCCCAAATGATAGGCAGTAGACGCGCCAAAGGTACCAGCGCCTATGATAAGTACTGTAGGCTCGCTGCTTGCCATATTGATCGAATAGTGATCAAAAGTCGAAAAGCTTTCAACGATGTCCAGGATGATGGTGAGGCTTCCTGGATGGTAGACGAGACTGCTTGCGCTAGTGTTGCGGGGTCTTCTGCGGATCCGATGCCCCAGCTTGCCCGAAAACGTGCATTGGCTCGCGCGATCGGGAAGGAACTCACGATGCCCAGGTACAACGCGTTCCGAACATGACGTATCAAGACAAAAGCGGGCGCGTGCGAATAAGCCCTATTCTGTCCAAAGTTGCGCTGCTTTGACAAGTGACATTCTGGAGCCCCGGTTGGGCTTTGGCAATGATCGCAGTCGATGCGGGATGCGCGAAACTTGCTTGGAGACCGGCGTTCGCGTCGCGACCTCGCGAGTATTCAGCGTCGCGGCAGGTGCAAGGACGACCGTCGCGAACAAGGTTTACGCGTTGTACTTGAATATCGCATCAATTGCATCGCCTCGAGAATGCATTTTAGTGGTTGAGACCAGCTTGAAGAGTACGTCGCGATGGCGTAGAGGCATGGTGGCACTTCGGTCGTGGAAAGTCGCTAACTAAAGCTCGAGTGTCATCGCTCCTTCCGAATAATACAGCTCACTTCCAACACTCAACACCATCCATCACGCGCGTGCTTGTCAGTAGTAGCGGCGCACATCGCGCATACCAATGGCAGCAGTTCAACACGAACGGATTCGTTCTCTACATGCTCGACCTATTTGCTGCGGCAGTTTTATTTGATCGTGCTCCACGCTCTCCAACCAGTCTCTTGCATGTATGGGCACCATTCACCCATCGATAGGTATTCATGACTCCCGAAAAGTCACTTCCGGTAATGCGCATGCGCTGCGATAACACGATAAGAGAGAAAGAGCTGGTGATGGCAAGAGACATGGAGTAAGCCAGGGGCTGACCGCAGAGCTGGACTAGCCGGTTGCATCATCAGCAACGTGTCGAATATGTCAAACGTTTAGCCTGGAGGCCTTATTCGGTTTCAGTCCTGGATATTCACTACCGACGAAGGATTCACGGTCCTACACCTGTTCTTCCAATGTAGAGGCTGCTTGCGAGATGCATTTCCAGGAATGGTTAGCGCTGGCTGTCTCGGCTAACCTTCCGTGTCAGACTCGAAGTATCTTTGGATACAAGTACGAACACAGCGCAGAGCTATTACGCAGCAGAAGGCAAGACCTCAATTCAATATCACTGCTGGAACTGAACACATAATCATCTAAGGAGCTTTATTGAGACCAAGCTTTCACGCGTCAATCTCAGATTCGCCACTGCACGATAGCACTTTAGTGGCTCCTTCGGCAAGCCCCACCATCGAGCGTAGAACGCAGATTCAGCAACTCTCAACCAACACCACGATGTCTCCCAAGATCCATATCGTGCGCCATGCGCAAGGAGAACACAACGCCACCGTATGTTCCATATCATGGAGAAGAACTTCGGAACCAAGAAGACTAACTGCCGGCAGCGCAATTACAGCATTCGCGATGCTGTGCTGACAGAAAAAGGCAAAGAACAATGTCGCACGCTTAGCTCGGCATTCAAACATCATGAGGAAATAGACATAGTATTTTCGTCGCCGCTACGACGAACGATCCAGACCGCCTCTCTGAGTTTTGGCCCTGTGCTCGCGCGGAAAGAGGTGCCGTTCGTGCTGTTGCCAGCTTTGCAAGAGGTCAGCAATATTGGGTGTGATGTCGGAATTGCAGATACTGCAGATGAAGTGCACGCATTCCTACCGAAGCTGTTTGCAGAAGGTGAGCTTGACTTTGACATCAGCAAAGTTGATGCATCAGCGGTGACAGCGGGCTGGAACTCCAAGGTTAGTCGATCTCCCGGTTTGACATCAGCATGCATGCTTACTAACGCCTCGCAGGAAGACTATTGGGCGTACGAGAAGCGCGCCATCTCGAAGCGCGCTTCTGATCTCAGGAACTGGCTGTACCAAAGGCCCGAAGCGCAGGTAAAGCTGCCGTTAGTTTCCTCTTAACAGCGGTTTGCTAATGGAACAGGTCCTGGTCGTCACTCATGGCGCATTTGCACACTTCCTCACCGAGGACTGGGAAGTCGAAGACCCCATGGTGGGCACAGCGTGGAAGAATTGTCGGTATATCTCTATATTTAGTCTGCAGTATGAGCTAACTCTATTGTAGGTGAGCATCGCGTGTTTACCTTTACACCTGAGTCGACAGCGGAAGACGCCCACGTGGGTGAGACTTGGGAGAGCAGGCGAAGCAGAGGTGCCCAAGAAGTCGAGAAGGACCCGCATGTAGTGGATGAGTTTCTCAAGACGGCGGCGTAGTTGAGTGGTAGTGTACATAGTCCGCGGCCTCAGGTAGCTTCCGACAACGGCTGTGGCATGCCGTTCCGTCCGTTGTCCAAGAGCCGGAGGGTCCACGAATAGCCAATACCCGATGTGTTTCTGTAGTAACTTGCCCGAGTACATTCGCGCTCTTTGATCGACAGATTCTCCCTTCGCTCCCAATCTGGAGTACCACGGCTGTTCGGCAAGCGCGCCATGATGGCGCAACATCCCACGGTGCCCGGTGCCCCCTGAGGCTTTTGGGATCCTGGGGTAGACGGTAGCCATGTCCGAGCAATCACATTCACCCCCCATATCATTGGGCGGCGCAAAGTTCGGCAATGCACTCCACAAAACCCTGGATCAAAGATAAGCCACGGTCACGCCGCGCCTGCTATGACCCTTCGAGCAGCCAAGCTGCAGTGCGGCCAGACCAAATCACCGAGCGGTGCGTCGTGCATTACCGCGCTGGGTGTAGTCGACGGGACGCATCGGAGCAGCCTTAGTCAGAGTTTTGCGCCCCGGTACCTGTTCGGTTAATCTATCAAGCCCCGCCGAGGCCCGGGATGGCGCGGCCCTAAATGCTTGTCGCCGCCCCCATGCAGCCAAACCAGCCCTACGCGACGCCTCTGTCGTCGTCACCATCCAGTGCAGACGCTTATCCCCAGCTTACAGGTTGTCGCGTGAGCACCGCAGCTCTCTTATCTCCAGAACCGCATGCATGGTTCGCTCTGATGTCACCTAGCA